AATATATATATATAAATTATAAAATTCAGAATTTTATAAAAAAAGCAAAAAAAATTTTATTTATCATTGTTTATAATAAAATACAATATTGAATTAATACTATATTATAGATAATAAATATCTATTTTTAATTATTTGAAATTTTTTATTATAATAAGTATAATTTTAAAATTCGTAAATAATTCGTAAATAATAGTAAAAAATTAGTTTTGGTTAACTATATATTTACTAATATTAAATTCATTTTTTTAATATATATAGAATATTAATATATTCGCGAGACACTTTGATTGTAAACATGAAAACAAATACGAAAATTGATATATAAAAATGTTTGTGGAAATTTATTTATAAAAAACTTAATTTCATATTAGATGAAATAAAATGAAAACAGCAGTATATATGACAGCAGTATAATGAAAATAGAATGATCTCACTTCCATTTAATCTCGTTTAAAATTTCAACGGTTTATAAATGAATAAGCAAAAAATAAACAAAAGATTTTTATATACTAATTATTTTTGTATTATTTTTGACTTCTAAAATTGATTTTCTGAAAAAGTGTCTTACGAATTTAATATCTTATATGTATGTATAACATATATAATAATTTAACGTGGCACGCAGTTATTACAATTTCTTATTTAAAATTCTTTTGTAACAATGCAAATTAAATTTTAAAGATTGAAAAAGCAAAAAATCTTTTTTTATATATATTATATTATCAATGTAATGTAAAAAATTAAAAATATCTATTGTACGTAAATAAAGTGTACTATTGAATAAATATATTTAATGTAACAAAATTTTAACATGTAACAAAATTGTATATCATATGGAATATCGAATTTCAATAAATAAATAAATAAATTCGGAAATCTATTAATTCTTTATAAGTAAAAACTGATCATACTTGTAATTTAATACTACATTCACTATATTTAATAAATAGATATATTTATTTTATTTTTATATATTTAAATATTTCTGAAAAGTGAATTGAATAATTAAATATTTTTATGAATATAAATTAGTTATAAAGAAAAATATTATTTTTATATGATTTATTATTATTAAATCTTTATTCTTAATTGTTTAAAAATAGTATATCATTAAAATTATTTTTTTTCTTTTTTTAGAAACGATTTTCAATCAGGAAAAAAATTGTATGTCAACAAATTATGAAATTTTGGAATTCTAAATATATATGACATAAGATTCTTTTACTAACTAAATTATTTTAAGGCATCCAAAAAACACTAAGTATAAGAG